TTTATAAATTATTTTGATCGAAAGGGGCTTTTTGCAACTAGGCCACCTTCGCAAGTTAAAGGGGTTTGTCGGCAGTCCTGAATTAAGTCCCAGAAAGTCTTAAACCCGCCACAGGAGTGATTTCCGTGTCCTTTGCGATACCCGTTGGAAATTTTTGTCTCCAAAAAACCGTGTAGTTTAAAGTTGCTTATTTGCCAGGAGATATTAACAAAAGTTTGGTGTTAAAAGATCTAGATCGGTGCGTAATTGGCAATACCCGTGTAAAGTAAACAAACGATCTTCGGAAATAATGTTCTTTGTTGATGCTGTCCTTCTCTTTCTGTTATTAGGAAGTGTTCGTTAAAGTGATTCGACAGGAAGGTGTTTTTGCGCTGTGGAAAGGATTTACACCGTACTATTTCCGTCTTGGACCACACACTGTTCTCACCTTCATCTTCCTTGAACAACTTCAAAGGCTGGCAAGAGACCACTATGGTGTCTCTTCCAGTCTATAAAAACACTCTGCTCAGTGTGATGAATTATTTTTCGAGCAGCTGTTTTCAAATGAAGTCATTTTGTAAAGGAAAGCAAGAGAAAGGCTTGTCAGTATCATCCAAAGTAAAAGTGTTTTTGCATTTCAAAAGTCGATTCAGGAAATTTCCATGGATGGCCGTGGATTCAAACTTTTCAACTATCCATCTAGTCAATAAACTCCTTATAAATGATGACAAGCGCTTGCGTAAATACTAGTCATAATGTAAGATAAGATACAAAATGGTATACCTCGTCATTTAGTTTAAATATAGGTTGGGTACTTAGGCGCCAAGAAAGTTCTCAAGCGACTTTCTGGTTACATTTTTACTTTCACCAAGGTCTTAAATTGGTTTGAAATATTGTGTAACACTCTCCAACCATTGAGAACAACATGCCATTCTTCAACCAAGCAACAGTAACACTATAGCTGTACCGCAACAGCCAGTCACTTGTCAAGCTGACGTTTTGAGCGCTAGCCTTTCGTCAGAGCTAAGTGGAGCTGTGTGTGTGTTTAGTGGAGCTGAACTCTGGCAACAGGAAATGAGTGCATTTGAATAACACTCTTTGATCTTATCTATTGTCAAGGTACCGAGTTGAAAGATAAATTTCTTTGCCTTGATAGAGAGAAGTACCATAAACATTCATGTTTCTCGAAGAATGGCCGGGGAGATGGGAATGTTTTGAGACAGGTTTAAAGGCGTCTTCCGGTTTTTTGTTTTTTTTTGTACGTCTCTTAAGGTGGCTCTATATAGTATTTCTCAAAGCTTTGGATATTAAATATGCATAAGTAATTTCTCCCTTG